AGTTAATAGGAAAATCAAGATAACGAATAAGGGAAATACTATTCAATTGTGGTTGTTTTTAAATTTTATTTTTTTAGGGTATTTAAGCATCGGACTGACAAAGCTAGCTTCCTTTCTTGTTTTTAATTTATTTTCACTGCTGGTTCAATTCCTGCCTTGTACTTTGTGCTTGTACCCTGATTCAGGTGGGTATGTGTGTGTGTGGGTGTCGCTGAGTGGGTTTGGGTATGACTGATGTGGAAACGGAAGTTGTAGGAGCGGCATTTTCCTGTTTCCGGTTCTAAATATGTTTTTTTTTTTTGACCCAAGGCAGGCATTTCAGATCAGCATTTGCAAGCTGAGGCGTCTTCTCTTCCACTCATTGTTCCCTCCCATTTACAAACTCGCTTAACAAATGTTCGCTTTCCCGTGTTTTTTCAATAATTTATTGAGTTTTTGGTTCCTTTAAACCTATTAAAAATGCTTGCAATTGCACAGTTCTTAACCTTTTCCAGTGAACTTAAGACTCCTTCCCGAAGCACATTCAATTAAACAGGCACACGCGGCACTCCTTGGCTGCAAAGCGGATTTGCCATTAGTTGGATTTAAGTAATAAGTGGACTTAATTAGCTGAAAATAATGGGAGAACTCAAGCTGATTAATTTTATGGATTTCATTTAGTTTGTGCTGTTGACTTGCGCACACTGGGAGTGAAAAAATAATTAATAAAAGTAATATGTATTTTGGTTTAATTTCTTTATTAAATTTAGTAAAAGCTAGAAATCAAATTTTGAATAAAAACCGCACATGAAATAAACATTTTTTGTTTTAAAATTCAACTCAGTATAAGTCCCGTTTGAACTCATTCATTGCTCTCTCAAATTCAATACTAACTGTGCAGAATAAATAAAAAATTGGCACAGCTTAAGTGGAACCAAATGCATTTTGCAGGTGGCTTAGTGCTAAATTATACTACTATTTTGCAGTTTAAACATGTTTATTATAAATTCAGTTTTTATCTCGTTCGATCGGCAAGCAACATTTTCAAATTTATAATTCAGTTTGTGATTTTCATTTTCCGGCATTTTGGTCATTTTCCGATGTAAGCCTGTGCAGCTACCTGACCTAAAAGCTTAGGCCAGAGAAAATTGAGTACGTTGGAAAATCAAAACGCATTACGGGGGATACAAACACACACACACACACCATTATGTTGTGTGCAAACAAAGTTTACATCGATACAAGTTTTTTAGTTGGCCTTCTCCTCCTTTATTTCATTTCGTTTTATTTTATTTTATTTTATTGGAACTGGATTTTTATTTGTATTGGCCGGAGAGAAGTTTTCGGAGAGTGGCACTTGAACAACGCGCCAACACAAATGACAAAAAACACACACACACACACACACATCCAAGTATGCAGTTGTCATAAGGGAAAAGTTGTATTACATTTATGACACTTTTGAATATATATTTTTGTGCTTTTTTCGCCTGTGTGAGTGCTGCCATATTTCTGGCCCCCTGCGCACGTTCGCCCTTTTATTTAACTCGCCATTACGTTTTTACAACCCTTTTCGTTTACTTTTGGTCCCGCTTTTCACCCGCTTTCCCCGATTTCCCCCCTTTTCTTTGTTGCCTTTTCTTTCGTTTTTGTGTTGACAAAGCGGCAAAGGCAAACAACGCAAAGGGCAAACAACGCGATAAACTTGGTGGGCGCTGTGGAAAATGGGAAAAGCAGTGGGCGGCTGTTAGTGGGCGGGGCTGCCTTGGCCGAGAGGGAAAGTGGAAAACATTTTAGCTGGCGACATTGCGTCAAAAATGGGCAAATGAGTCAATCTCACAGCCGGAATGTCGGAGCACGCACTTAATCAAAGTATACGTTTCCTTCGGGGATCGATGATGCCGAATCTAAAACACATGGAAAAACTTTTTGGTTCTATTTTAAAAACTGTTATTTTTTATTGCATTTTAATATTTTTATTATATAGGTACCTACTAATAAAAACATAATCGTATTTTAAAATTTTTGTTTTTGCGTTTTTTTGTTGCCCAAAATAAAAAAAATACAATATACAATTTCATATTTTGAAAAACAATATAATATTTCATATTGTTTTTCAAAACTATATTTATATATTATTTTATTTTGTATATTTATAGTAAGTAATATATATAATATAGTAATAGTAGGTAATATATATAATATAGTAAAAATATTAAAATTGTTATTGGTATAACAATGAATACCAGTCTTAAAAAGCAAATAAAAGCAATGTTATACATATTTTGTAGGAAAAGACAATTAAAACCAATCTGATTTCAAAATTCTTAATAAAATATTATATCTGAAACTGTTTGCCTTCTTTGCTTACTTATTACATTATGTACATAGTCAATATTTTTTAAGTCATGGAACTTGTTCATCAGGAAAAAGGGTATCTAATAGTCGAGTGTAGCTCTTTTTTTGGCCTAGAAATCAGTATTATAAATCCTCATTCACAGCTGAATAAATAAGCCTGGCATTCATATGCACGCCTTTATTTTCCGTGGGTAAATAAAAACAAACATGTTGAAAAACTGCCTTTTGAATACTATTGTCGAACTCCTAGAAATGAATCAAGTTTCTCCTTTGAATAGTATGCGAACTCAATCAAATAACGAAGGAGAATATTGTGAAAACTGATTACTAACTGCTAATTGTGCAGGTAATAATTTCAAAAAGCATTAGCATTTCTTCGTCTAATAACTCAATAAGCTACTATAAAATTGGCGTCTAAAACAATTGCCTACCAAAAAAAGTTATATAAGGCTGAGTTCATCGTTAAATATTTCAAATTCGCGCCATGGGAAGAATGAAATTTTGTATGTTTTGTACACCCATACCTGTTATACATGTTAATTGTGGAGCCAAAATATTGCAATTTACTATTTACATATGATCTGGTTAAAATGACGCAGTGCAATATGGCTAAAATTATTTACCAATCCTATTAAATGGTTATCTGTGGTCAAGGCACTCTAGAGCACCTACCGTCTAATAAGTTGATCCTCTAAATAATTATTTAAAGTTTCGTTAAAGTTAGTTAACCATTGATGGATTATTGTTGCAAAGACTGATCCATTTTTTCATTGATGATTCTATAGTTCACTTGATAATACGATATAAAACAAAATTCTTAATTATAACGCGACTAATTTATATCGCGCACGTATAAGCCGCACATTAATCATTAAATAATTTAGAGGCTGGGAAAATCGCTGGAAATGAAAGTCTGTCCCCGCAAAAATGCCACTTTTCCAAACGACGGCATGTCAGCACACTCTGATGTGTGTGTAGAAAGAAAATGGAAAATGCTGGTGTGAGCTATAACGACTCCGCTTTTTGTTCTTGAGCTTCGCACATTCGCGCAATTTATTTAACTTGATTTGCTGCAATTTATTTCAAGTGCTGTCGTTTATTTAAACACCACACACACACATACACACACTATAGCAGCGAGAGTTTGTCGGCACGTGAAAATGCACCGCAGGAAGAAGTTTGGTGTAGCACACATGCAAACAAACACACTCACAAATACATATGTGGGCAATTAACCCTTTGATGAAATAATACATCGCATGTCATGATGCCCCACGTTTCTGGGTGGCTTTTCCCGGAATAGTTCGCTGCCTGCTTACCACATTTTTTCGCCATGCGCTCCACTCATTCCTCGCTCCTTTGCTCCTCGAACAGTTTGTCGACCATTCATAAAATTATTCAAGCAAATTTTATTTGCACAAATGTACGCGACCTTTTTGCCCTCGGCTCCACGACCCTCACAACTGTGAGCCACCCGCCGCCCACTGGGAGGGAAAACCCCACCCACAGACGTCTGGCTGACTATCTTGCAATCTGCAAAGGGACTTGGGAAACGCACAGTGGTAAAATGACAGTTTATTGTGATTCGTTTGATGCCCTTCTGCCTGTAGGTTTGAGATCTGAATTGGCATTAGAGTTTGCGGGTTAGTTAATCTCAACGGTTTTTTAGGATATATGATTTATGATTTACGGGTCTAATTTATTTAATTACACATATACATTTGAACTACATTTAAATATGAAGAATGCTTTGAAAATATTTTAATAAGATAGTAATAAAAAAAATAGATGTTGCATTTAAAAAATTTGCATTTAAATACGAAGTAATCACCTAAGTTTTTGCTTTTAAAACTTCGTTAAATATTTATGGAACCTATACCTGATTTAACTGCATAACTACTACAATTTGAATAAATTATAATTTATGTTATGATATTATCTGTTCACGATATGCAGTTCAATTGGATTGGAATTTGGAAAACAGCAATCAAAGTCAGTTAGCCCGACTGACTAGCGGAACTCAACCTAATCCCGGTTATCGGGCAACTGGATATCAGTTAGCAGCCGCGATTTCCTACGCAAACAGAGCCACTTGCCTCACTGGCCCGCATTCCGGGTCATTTCGTAGCCAATGTTTTGCATTGTGCCTCCGTTCGAGGCGATAACTTCTCTGTATTTTGCTGGGCGGCAAGGCAAAAAGTGGGCGTGGTCTTAGTGTCTGTGCGAAGCCCGCCGGAGAAACACTTTCAAGTGTTCATCATTTTCCGCTGCTAATGGTGCTCATTTATTTTATTGACAGCCGTTTCCGCATGGCCCTTACTGTTTTCTGTTTTCCCGGCTTTTCCTCCGCTGTTTGCAGTCATCCGAGGAGCCTTTGCATGGTAAAGTGTGCAAATTAGTTGATTTTTATGCGAGCGCCGTTTGATCTCGCACTCGAGCTATTTTATTTTACCTTTCGACCGTTGAAAATCCCCTTCCCTTGCCCTCTTCCCTTGCTTTCACCTGAGGGGGGAAATCAATAAAATAGCCGCGCAGCGAAATGCAAAGAAAGGCAACGAGTGTAATATAAATGCCGAGCAATTTGCATGCGGTGTGGCGATGTTGCTTACTGGGCCATAATTAATTTTGCTTAATTTTCCGCCTTTCCCGTCTTGTTTTCCCAGGCTCTCCAGACCCTCACTCCGGCGGCTGTGGAGCAGAGTAATTGATAATATTGAAGGCTGCCAGGACATTGCCAAGTGAAATCCATTAGTGAGTATAAATTAATCCTTGTATGAATGATTAACAACAAGGCGGGCAAAAAAACGAAATGCAAATAAAATCTGAAGCAGGAGTCGAGCAATGAAGTTGCCTTTCATTGTGTGTGAGTAGGTGTGCGAGTGTGTGTGTGCAGGAAAACAAGGAATGCAGGAAAAATCAGCGTTCAAATTGGATTTTATATCGATATTTTTGTTGGTATTCCAAGATCTCGACGTTCTTACGGACGCACTCAGGTTCCAATCCAATACAGACTGACATCCCTAGATAGACGCGTCTGATTATCTGGAGTATGAGCACTTAATGGGGTCGCAAGTGCTTTCTTCTCTTCGTTAAAGGTTTTTTAACAGATACATTATGCCATTTTAAGAAGAAGGAAGCCAGCAAAATTTTGTCTATTCTCTTAAAGCCTTTAATTTGGGTCTAAATCGAAAAGCTCATTGTTACATATAATTTAACAAAATGTTCATGACGAAACCGCTGATGTCAACTATCAAATACATCGTGTAGTCGGATTAAGCGTGTTAAAGTAGTAGTATAGTAGTATTATTCCATTAGTTTTCTGATAATTTATCGTCCGATTGTTATCAACATAATATAGTAGATAAAACACAGCACAATATTTTAGTTTTAACTCTTCCATTCTTGTTTCTTTAATAAGGGAAGAGTTTTTCTTTATTTAAGAATCATTTAAAATTTTAAAAGCTTTTTTATGACTCTTTTTTTAATAAGTTTCTTATTATGCCGCTCGAAACTCGAATATTAATCTGCCATTGATTTGAATTAAAATTGGTGATGTTGGGGGAGTTCAAACTCAGGATGTGGGATGCGAAAAGTGGTGCGGGTGTTCCACAAGCCGCAATCCTTCAGTCTGACCTTTTGCCGCCAAGCGAACCAAATAAACCACAAGCAAATTAAATGCTCAGGTCCCCTTATCCCCTTCCCTTTCTAATCTGGTGTTTGTCTCTTTCTCTTGAGATTTAGACACGTATACAAACATTTTCCTTGCGGTTTCCTTGGTATGGCACTCAAAAAGGCTAAGAAATCTTCTTATTTTTCCTTATTTAATTTACTGTACTCAGTGCAGTTTTATACAAACTTATCAGCCAAAAACTGAATACATATCACAATGAGTTTTTAGTATTTTATTTTTTCTATTTTTTTACCTTTATTTATTTTATTTTTAATATTTGCTTATACAGAGTACATAACAATATTAAATTAATTACAAAACAAGAATATTCTCACATAAAGGAAGAGGGAAAAGCCTTTCCCCCTTTTCCCCGCTAAGCTCAAGTTTTGTCTCTGATTCTTGGGTTTTGTAATATTAAAATTTACGACTTTTTGACAAATTATCGGCAAATAAAGGGCATAAATAAAAATTGTTTGAGAACGGCAATAAGCGTAAATTTCAATAAATTAATCATTTTCCGGCATTGTTCGACTGGCACAAAGAGCTGTTCGGCTAGAGGGTTAGGTGATTGTGGACAGTGGACGGGGGGCGGGGGTCGAAAGTGGGGATTGGGGGGGATTGGGGGGGCTTAGGGATTATTTTCTGGGTGTGGCAAGCAACAGGCTGAGAAGTGGCAGCGATTGCTGCAGAGTTGCCCAAACATTTCCCAGCCCCGAATTCAAATATTTGCAAAAGGAAAGCGGGACTCAAAATCCGGGGGCGGGGAAAAGTGGCGGGAAAGCCATGTTGAGCCATGTAGCAACAGCTGTTGTGGGCCTTGTTTGGGGCACTTAATGGCCATTGAATCGTGGAGGGAGAGGGGAGAGGGGTGGGGAGGGGCGTGGTGCGTGCGCCGTTCCAATTACGGGCCAAAAAGCGAAGTTTTATCAATTCATAATTCATTCTGCTGTGCAATTAAATTCCGCCGCGGCCACACTTAACAGCACAAATCCCCAGGGATCATTCGTCCTTTTTCTGGTGGGGGTTGGGGTGGGAACTGGGGGCTCCAGGGGGTGGGGAGCATCAGCTATCCGCAACATGGCTACAAATTGATGTGTCCTTATCAATTTCCGTTCCATTTGACATTAAGGAAATTGAGAGGCGCTCCTTCGCCGTCCTCACTAATTATTTCCATTTTATTACGCTCAGATTTTTATGGCCTGTGTTTTTGTGTGCCTTGTAATCGCAAACTAATCTCCGACCGCATCCACCGATGCCAAAATAGTCTCGGGCCAAAAACAAATATGAAAACATTTTGGTTTGCTTTGGTTTGGTTCGGTTTGGTTTGGTTTTTCAATTCCTATTTGTCGGACGGTCGGACGGTCGGTCGGTTGGTCGGTCGGCTTGGGTTGGCTTTTTGTTTTTCATTTTTCTTCGGGGGGCTTTTGGGGTTTTCGTTTCGGGGTTCTTGGCAAGTGCAACCAAATTGAAAGCAAAGCCAAGTCATCAAGCCGGGTGCTAGGGCGAGTGTAATTGCCGCCTGACGTCGAGGGGAGCAAAAGGGGGGCGGAAGGGGATTGGATCCCCCAGATCTAGGCCAGAACCCCATATGGATATGTGTGCACTGAAACATAAATCAGTGGGAATTCAACTGAACTGAACTTTAAACGTTACGATTTTAAATAAAATAAAGAGAAAATTGGACGATGAGCGGAAAAATCGACACAACTTCTGTTTTTAACGTAGGTATCTTATCTTATTGATTTCAATTGAAAAAAAATTTTATTTATAAAGTTAAGCTTATTGTGAGAGATTTGCTCTTCAATTTTTATCCGTGTCTGTGCCTAAACAAAAAAACTGCGCTATATGTTTTGTGAGAGGCGACTAGACTCCTTAAACACACCTTTTTTCCCCGTTGGCATCGCCGAAAAAGCGCAAGCGAATGGAAATCGGTTGCAGAACTAGTTTCTTTCCCGAATGCGATTGCAACTTGATGAGCCAGCCAATATGGAAAAGGTAAAAGGAAAAGAAACACACTGGGAATACAGGGCCAAAAACAAAATGCTGACTAATTTAAAGACTGGCCTGCGATTCCCAAACGGATACCAATATGATCTGAAATGTTTTTGGATAAAATAGCGACTTCAAGGAATAGAATTATAATACCTTGGGAATACATTTAAATGCAGTAATAAAGAAGACAATAGTTAAAGTTGTATTCATTAAACCAGAAAAGAAATTATTGAAGGAATAAAAAATGCTGGTAATAATCTAAATATTCTCCACTTCTTAGTATATAATTTTATAGCAAATGCGAAAAGAGCTTAGGAAAAGCCGGCAGGAAAGCATTGCAACTATATATATACGTAGGAAATCGTGAGTCATAACTTAAAAGGGAAGAAAAACGAAACGCGATTGGCATCAAATGATTTGCATGCGAGGTGGAGCTGTGTGGCCAACATTTTTAATACTCGCCCGGGGACATCAGGGATCCAGCGAGGAATATCAAGTTTAATTGGACTGCCAAGCTAGAGGGTCCCTCATTTGAAGCCAAGAATAATTTCTAATTAGGAGGGCACACACGCATGTGCAAATATTTAACGAAATTATTAATGTACACAGGACGCCGGCTTCACCACTCATTTTAACCCCGTAAAGTAGGCAACTTTTCCCCATTTCCTCATTTCTTCCGCACTTCCCCGCTTCCACCATTTTCCCCATTTCCCAGCACCCTAATTCAAGTGCTCAACGCAGCACACAAACAATTAAAAACCGTAAGTGTCCCCACATGACAACGTGTGAACTTAATTTCATTTTTGTAATTTGCAAAAAAGGAAAGCGTCGGGAAAGGAACTAAACACAACCGAAGGCGCTTTCTTCGAAATCCACAAGAAGGGGTGTGCAAAAGGAGGGGAAAGGAGGGGAATCGAGGAAGGATCGGCAGGACCTCAGGAACCCAGTGGACAGGCTACTCCTTCCACGATAACAAGCTAAACGAAGCACACTCAAATGAAAGTCATTTTCCGAATACTTATGCGTGCAGCAGCCGTTGCCTCGTGTGACTCTGCGTGTGCAATCATTTTTCAAAGCTTAATTTCCACAAACAAGCAAGAACGACAGGAAAATACTTAAAAAAACGCAGACAATAAAAGCGAACTGAAGGCAATGGCAGCGCAAAACAAAACTTCAGTGTAATGAAGCCGAAAACAAAAGCAAAAGTAACCACACAAAGGGGAAAAGTGAAGAAAAAGTGGAAAACATGGCTGCATCGAGCGCACTTTCCTTGGGCGGAAAAGCTTCCTCGAATGCAATGAATATTTACTGAATGTGCAAACGAAATAATGAAATGATTGAAGGGCTCAAGATGTGAGTAATGATTGCAATGCTTCGAAAATTCCGAATGCATTATGTGAAACAAGTTGAAAAAATAGTTACATAAAATGAAAAGCGGCACGAAACATTTTAATGCATTAAGAAAAAGAGAAAAATATGAATGTAATTTAAGACCTTTTTTGTAAACAGAAATGAATTGAAAGTAAAAACAAGTTGTTCGTTTAAATGTTTAAAAGGCACAAATAATATTTTTTTAGTTCTAGCAAACGAACTCGTTACCATATGAAGTATTACAACAAAATGTAAGAGAAGGAAGCACTAGCAAATGGCAACTAAATTAACAAACATTTGCCAGCCAAGGAGTGCCCGAATCCTCGCTCCGAACTTCTTTAAAATTTCCGAGTTAGTGGAAGTTTGCCGAAATACAGATGCTGAGCCAATGGAACTCGAGTTCCGAGTCCTCGCCTCGAGCATGCCACACACTTAAGCTTATCCGGGATTTGGCTTCCTAATTCATTCATTTACCGCATATCCCTCCAGCTCAGTCTGAGCTCCGCTCGATCCTGCCAAACAAAGGAACTCCAGCTGTATCAAGAGTTTGCTACAAATTGCCGAAGCACTCGACTTCCGCTCAACTAAATGCATCGCAGTCAAAGTCGCACTCCTAACCCCTACTCCCCTATCCTTCCAGCCCCACCAAACCCCCCTCTAACCCGCCTTCAACCCGACCTAATCCTCTACTTTGGCGCATTTCCCTGCTGTTTGTTTA